ACCAGAGAATTATTTCCACTTTCTCAACGTACGTTGTGAAAGTGTAAATTACCCCCGAAATTACTGCGGTTCCCGACGTAGTACGAATTCTGAAATTAGAGAATCGTCAAGATTCTTAAAATAGATATTATTATGTCAATCATTATAATTACCCGAATTTCTCGTAGAATAGTAATACGTAGTGGGTATAGTTATTATCGTTGGTATTTCTATTATTATATTACGTATGTAAAGAAAAGTATGTAAGCGATCAAAGCTTACCTTCAATAAAGGAGCTGTCGGCCCTCAACGCTCAACTATCAGAGTTCGAAAACCTTCTAAGTTCTTTAAGTAGAAGCGTTTGGCTCTACTAATTCCCCCGATAAGTAAAATCTGCAATACCGATAGGAATTAGTAACCAAATCCCGTGATTTCATTTTAAGAGACTCGTGACGTATCTAGAACTCTAATTGACCCTATTTACTCGGACCAAGTCTTTCCACGCCTCGATCGTTGCCTTACCACTATTAGTGTTTAGTTAGAGTAGTTTAGTTGTATTAGTATAGTATTGTAGCGTATTTGTGTAGTAGAGAACATTTTTACACTTTTACAACGTACTGTACGTGCGTACGTACGGCGCAGGCGATCTAAAAACCTCAATCTCCTTATTTATGCCAAATATATTGTACTAATGTCTTATTAATATATACTCTTTATTATATGACCGGCAAATTATCAATAAGCGTGTAAATAATAATTTATTCAGTAACTCAAAGTTTTCAAAATTTGGTATTTAAAATTTATATTAATTTGGCCAACGAGTATTTCATGCTTAGAAATTCAAAAAAAAATTAGCCGTAGTTTATGTAATACTCTTTGACCTCGGAAGAATTTATTACCGTCTATTAGAATGGGCAGAAGTTAGAACCATCACATACACCAATTTGTGAATTCACAAATGATAGTGACGTTCAGTGCCATAGGTTGCTTATAATAATTAAATCAAGGCCAACATTATGTATTCATAAAATTAATACGGTATTTGTATTTGTAATAGTCTTGATCATTTGTTATCGAAGTGGAATTAAGTTAAAGAAAACTGAATATGCACGTTAAAATAGAATTTAATAAATTTAATTTTAAATTGAAGCAGATGATTAGAGAAATTTGAATCTACCTAAAATTGATTCCGAAATATAAAAATACATCATAATTTTACAAGATTCCTATACTTATACAGTATAATGCATATGAATCACAGATTTTGAGTAGATTAATAAATAGTGCCATACATAAATAGATTATTGTTTTAATCTGAAGAATTTGAAGCCATAAATTCTTAACTTAATAAATTCTTAAGTATTTTAATAGCAACAAAGTTAAGAAAAATCTTGATCAAAAGCACATATTTGAAAAGATATTTTGTTATAATAAAAATAACTTTGAAGTATTTATAATCATAAATAGTGAAATGTAATTTAACTATTATGGTATTGACTGGTTACTTGATGATTCTTGTAATTCTAAATTATAATGATAACGATGCCATATCTTTTGACAATAAGCACTGCAATTGCTATTAATATTATAAGTCCTGCCAATCCACCAAATGTACCTCCAATAATTGCGGCAATATTATTAGATGGGGTCTTTGCCTTGAAAATCAAATATGGGACATATGATTTACTATGTCCCATAACTTGATTTTCAAGGCAAAGACCCCAGATGAATCAGTAGATTTCGAAGAAGTTGGAGTAGGAATAGGTTGAATAGATTGGAGCTGTTTGGTAGGATCGTATGCAGTAACCCATTTATAGTTGTCTTTTTGACTTACGTCAAGAAGAAAAATGTTATTTGTGGCAGGAGATATGGAATTATCTAAAATTGGAAAAATTATCAATTTAAAAATTTTATATTAATATGAAATATAGTGATATGCTTACTAGTTCTTCCAAATGCAATAAGGATATAAGCTCCAATTAGAGTTGAAGCAAAACTAAATAGACTTGATGGAGAACCACCAATATTTGAAATTGTAGCAACTGACCACACAAACATTAATGTGTCAAGTGCCATAATTGAAGTATCATTAGATCCATAAAATATTAATATTTGATTATATGGAGCTATATTTAGAAGAGAAATAATTTATTTATTAATAGGAGCATGTATGATTTACAATATAGTCAACTTTGGATATAACGAACTCTGAGAGACTCTCTCTATGAAATTTTTTAAAAAGTTCTTCATAGAGAATTTATTTTTTTATATCGAACTCTAAAAATTTATTAAACAAAGTTCATTACAGTGTGAGTTCATTATAAAAGTGTTCGTGTATCCAGAGTTGATTATTGTATCATTAAAACTTCAATTCGAACGATATTTATATCACTCACGTATAAAGACAGCACCATGGTCAATTCGCGGTGATGGAATGCTCCCCGAAGTTGACTGGATTCATGTAAATATAAACAAAGTTAACATTAGCTAGATATTATTTAAAATAAATAGCTAAGATAGATAACAATCTTAATCTATCTTATTTAGCGGAATGAATGAATAAGATATCGATATATGTTCTCAAAATTCTGGTAGAATCCTGATCGGTATTGATAAATTTTATCTAAGGTAATCTACGATGGATTCTGACCCATAATTTTGGCGATTGTCTCCATAACGATAAATATAAAAGATCACATTAGATGCAATGCAAAAAAAAAAAAAAGAA